TTTTTTTTTTTTTTTTTTTTTTGGTGAGGAATTACAACATGCATTTTGTTCTCTATCTTTCCATTCTTGGCCATGGATTCCATCCTGCCCATCTGGTGCTATTCTAGCCCACCTTCAGCGGGTGCATCTAGGTCTGCAAATAATCCTTGATAACCCGGTTTCCCTGAAAAATAAGGCCTAACCTGAAAATAAGCCCTAGTAGGGTTTTTCACGATGCTCATCATAGAAGCCCTACCTGAAAAATAAGCCCCAGTTAAGTGAAACCCCGCTCTCCACCCTTGTGCAGCAACCAGAAGATGACATGACTATAAAATGAAACATCCCCTGAAAATAAGCCCTAATGCATTTTTTGGAGCAAAAATTAATATCAGACCCTGTCTTGTTTCGGGGAAAACATGTTAGGACAATAGGACTATATACCCATGCTTTTGTCTGTTCTGGCAAGGAAGAAGTAGAAAGATTTTTTTCCCATGGCCTCTTCCAGATCTCATACAGATTGGTCTTCTGCTCTTGCCAGCAGCGGTGTGAAAGCCGTCTGTGGACTTGGGTCTAGTGGTTATAGAGATGGCAGCAAAGCATATCAAGGCATGTTGAGGAGTACACGAGCCATGCTCCCCTTTCCTGGAAGCAAACTCCTGTTTGTTTGTATCAAGTGCTTAAAATTCTAGGGAGCAGAATAAAAAGGGAGACATAGGTTGTCTCCTACCAGAACAGCTTCCAAATCCGGTCTCCTGGAGACCGTACCAAAAAGAAGAGAAGGGGATAGCAGGAAGGCGAAGAAACATAAATATAGGCTGCAGGCGTTTGTGTTTAATGATTTGTTAGGATGGCCACTTCTTTCTAGAGCTGAGTTTGTCTGGCTCCAGTGAGACTGACAGACAGGATCTCTCTCTTCCAGCAGCTGGCAAATAGAATGACCACAGGCAGGATGGGATCCGTTCTGGTTCTCACCAGACAGCCTAGAATCAGGCTGAATTACTCATTCTAGGTGTGGTTTTAATGGGTAGGGTGTTCAATGCAACGCCAAAACAATGGTCACGAGATGACCACAAGGAGTCGCTCGTGAGTCTAGCCAGAAATAATAGACTCAAAAGACTCCTAGGGCTGGTAACACCTTCAGCTTTTTCCAAGGGAGAAAAATATTCACAATGTGGTTTTTAAATATTTATTTGAAAGCACGGATTCTCAAACAACAGAGCCGGCCCTGGGCTGGGTAGACTGAAACTGTGGTGTAGAAGATGGCTCTTTCTGTTAAAAAAAAGGGGGGCATATAAGAAGGAATTCTTCCTCCCTCCATACTCGTATTTAAAGAGTTACTGATATTTTGAGTTTGGATCTGCAACCTTGTTTATGAAGTAGCTCCATGAAAAGAGGGGTTTGGAATTGATATTTTTGCACAACCTTTTGTGAGGTCTTTCCAGCAACCAGAATCCCTAATAACAAAGCCCTTGTTGGTATTTATGGCGTATCTTGGGCTATCATTTTCTCCATTTCAGCGAAAGAAAAACATACAACCTTTGGAGGGGGAGCAAGAGGGTGATTTGCTGCCTAGGAGACTCTCTGAAGCAGCAGACACGATTTATTTACCCGTGCCCTGCTGGTGACCCATGGCTTCCACGGACACAGCCTCTTTGTCCAACTCCCCATATTCTTCAGCACGTGCATGAACTTGGGCGGCTGTTTGCAGATTAACTCAGGATCAATAGCAGAGTCAAAGGCCGGGGAAGAATAAATAATCAACGTGGAGCAAATCAATCAAGAGCTTTCTGATTTATTCACCGAAAGGGTGACCTCTTTGGCTTAATTCATGGGTCTACCATCGTTGAGCAAAGAAGGACTTTGTTTGCATGAAGTCGGGGAAGGAAAAAGATCTTCTTGTACTGTTCACCATTTTGGAGCAATTTGGAGTATACTGTGTAGGCGCAGAGAGCAATTGTGGACGCCACACTTTAATAAGGATGCCAACAAACTGGAGCGGGTTCAGAGGAGGGCAACAGGGATGATTAAGGGACTGGAAACGAAGCCCTAGGAGGAAAGACTGGGAGAACTGTTCAGACTTGAGAAAAGAAGACTGAAGGGAGATAGGATACATCACTTTTCAAACATTTGAAAGGTAGTCATACAGAGGAAGGGCAGGATCCGTTCTCAATCATCTCAGAGTGCAGGACACATCATAATGCGCTCAAGCTATTGGATGCCAGATTTAGGCTGAATATTAGGAAAGACTTCTTAACTGTTAGAGCAGTACGACAATGGATCCAGTGACCTCAGGAGGTGGTGAGCGCTACAACGCTGTGGAGGCATTCAAGAGAAAATTGGACAACCACCTGTCAGATCTGCTTTCATTTGCATCAAGCAGAGAGTTGGACTCAATGGCCTTTTGGTGCCAACCAACTCAAGGTTTCTATGAATACTCCATAATTGGCCGTATTGTTGGGCAAAGTGAAGTACCTGCCTTGGGTGGGCAGTTTCCGGGGGGTCAGCAGGGGCAGCCACCCAACCATTCTTCTTCAGTCCTTTGCCATTCACCATTCTTGGCTATCAGGAAGCTAAAAATCTGCCATGTCCCCAGAATGTGGATGTAACTGGCTACAAATAACATGCTTTACGTGTAATTTGTGACTTTTGGGTGTGACCAGTAACACTTAAGTTAGGTAGGCTTAAAAAATGACACCTGGTTACTTTCAAAAGAAGGAGCTTTTAAAAGGCATATTTGCATAATTTCTTTTGAGAGTTTTATGCCTGTGGTCTCTTTTAGAGAGTCATTCCACCTCATATTTAGTTTTCCTTTTCCAAAGCATCTTTCCTTTTCATGATGTGCCCAAAGTAGGACAGCCTCAGTTTCATCATTTTTGCCTGCAGAGACTGATCGGGCTTGATTTGATCCGGGACCCGCTTTAGGACAGCCTCAGTTTCATCATTTTTGCCTGCAGAGACTGATCGGGCTTGATTTGATCTGGGACCCGCTTGTTTGTCTTTCTGGAAAGCTCTCCTCCAGCACCACCTTTTCAATGAAGGTTTTAAATATGGTTTGGAAATACTTTATTATTGGTGTTTAATTTTCCAGTGTGTTAATACAAAATAGGGAAATGCTACATTTTCCTTCTGCTGGTGGGTTCGGTATGTGCTCTGCCATAGATCCAAGCTTTGTCTTGGGATCTTGCATTACAGGGGATACTGTTTTATCCTTTATCTCAGACAGCAA